GGAGCGCGCGTCACCGCGGGCTCGCGTGCGTCGCGGCGCCCGTCGCGTTACGGAAAGCTTTATTTGTGCAGGGAAGCGGCACGGGAGCGTCAGCTTCACAGCTTGGTTTACAACACGCTCCCAGCAGAGCTCACGGTACGGGGAAAGGATACGTACAGGGATGCCTGGCTCTCCAGAGGGACCTGCCTCTCCCATCTCTCCAGGACTGCCCTGCAGAGGAGAAAGCGAACGCTCGGTTAGGGCGTAACTCCGGAGACTCGCTTCTGTCCTACCCAGAGCAACAAATGGAGGAGGGGGTTAAAACCTCCACTGGGAAGCGAAAACAGCTTTAAACTTTTACAGTTTTAAGACCAAGAAGAGAAAACCCTAAACAATGGACATTTAAAGAACAGATGAGCTGTATGTCCTGTCCTGGGACCAGTGACTAGGGAGGGCTGCCAGCCCCAGGGATACCGTATCCCGTCTCGGACTGAGCGGGACAGGGATGCTCTGCCGGAGGCATGCACCGGACACCTCCCTCCGTTCATTTCTGCATCCCCTTCGTGCAAGAACCGTCTTCCTGCAGTGCTCTCTCATGCATGAGGATTAGCAAGAATAATGATGCAGGCGCAGAGGGGAAGTTCAGAAAGGAAGGGGAGGCACAGAAAAAAAGATGCTTTCCAGAACAGCTTTGTGCTGGACCGCTTCGGTCTGCCTGGGATTTTCTTCCTCGCGCAGGTAGGTGCCAAACCAAAGCTCTGTGGAAGTTTCCTGAGCTGGGGGGCAAGTCTCCAAAAGGCAAGATGAGATAATCCTGCTCCTGCTTGCAGATGCTCAGCCTTTTGATTCCCAAAGATGAAGCCTGCTCTTGGGACTCTAACAAAAGGGCGAATGCTTCCTTCTGAGGTTTCCTAAACCACTGGGGATTCTCCTGTGCATCTGCTGTGTCTTCACTGAACCAGGTGCAAGAGCTGTCTCAGCAAGAGCGGGGCCACCTCGGTCACTACACCTAATGCCGGCTCCTCACCGCCAGGAGAGCCCAGCCCTCACTTCGGGGTAAGTCCTCCCAGGGTCTGCTTGTGGGCAGCAAGCCCCAAAAGCTGAAAAGCCTGGCTGTGACGAGTTTAGTAGCTTCCGCACCAGAATCCACCAATAGAGAGATTCACTTACTGGTTCACCCTTTGAGCCTTTAGTACCTGCTCTTCCAGGCAGTCCCTGAAAAAAAATAAAATTAAAGCAATGTCAGAAGAAAGTGAAGTTATTAAATTTGTTATTCTGGTCTGATGTGACATACAAGGAGCAATGTTTGCTTGAAGCAATGGAGGATTTACATTTCTGCAGCTTCCAACATGAAAATTACGACTTCAATTTCCCTCTTGCTCGCTGCAGAAGTCGCTCTACGTACACTAATCCTTGATGATTAGAGCAAAGAGGAGGAATATATAAAAAGAGCAGCAGCAGCAGCAGCAGCATTTTGCACAGCAAAAACCTCTCTCCAGGGGTGTTCAAAGTATTCTGTAAGACAGGAGGAAGGGAATACTTTACCTCTATGTAAATAGTTGGAAGACTGGAGAGAAGAAACATTTTGCCGATGAACACTAGTAAGCCAGGGACAGAGCTCAGGCTGTTGTTGAATTATGGTCATTTGTATCCTAGACCTTGCGTCCCTGCTAAGGGATGCAGGTCACTGGGATGTGAAAGAGAAAATCCCTCTCAAGTTTAAATGTTAAGCAGAGCCAGAGCGGCCAAAGGCCAGGGTATTACTGTATCAGTATTTGGTGCTGCTCCAGATGTTTTCCGTTCTGTCCTGTACACTGCTCCGCTGCTTGTACGGTGGGAACAGTGCATTTCCTCGTGGCTTAAACGGGGCCCCTTGTGAGACAATGTGCAAAATGAACCTCCCCTCTCCCCAGGAACGATCTCTGTACGCGGGCCAAGGTGCTGCGCCGCCCCAGAGGTGACGGGTCCTGCTGCCATACTCACAGGCAGTCCGTTTGGCCCCTTCTCTCCAGGAGCACCCACGTGAGCTGCATCACCCTGCGGACATCAAGAGGTTAGGAGAGACCCTGTGCTGCTGGAAAATGGTCTGACACAGGTGGAGGACACATTCCTGAAGCGGCATTTGTAATCTTCTCCCTCCCCATATATGCACGACCAAGAACCTGATGTGTCTACAGGAGGTGGGCACCCACTGGACATCGGGTGCCCAGAGCTCCCAGGTGTTTCCCTAGTCCCCTTGCTGCTCCCAGCCTTCCTTGGAAGCACACGGTCCATGTTCCTGTGGGATCACCATTCAAAAACCAGGCAACTAGTATCTGACAGCACTTTGTCTACAGGCAATTAAAATAAACAGATGTCTCTGTCAACAGCTCTGAAAAGGCATCTCTGAAGGCCGAGAGTCAGCCAACGGGAACCACTAAGTATAGGGACACAGTTGAGCTTAGGTCATATGTGCATGGCGCATATATGCGTCTTCTTTCTTTAGGGAATTTCCTTGGGATTAATTAATAGAAGCAACTTCACTCTTCTTCACTAGTTATGCTACTGGAAAATTCTTCAGAAGCAAAAGCTTTCCAGCCATGCTTTTTCTTGACAAGCATCAGTGGCTTTGCAACACACACGGGACAGTAACAGAAATCTTTCCTGCAGTGTTTAAGTAGGACTTTACAAACCTTCTCACCATCGAGTCCAGGAGCTCCGTCCCGTCCATCCTTGCCAGGCATGCCCTGCAACCATGCACGATGCAGGTTAAGATTATGAGGAGACTCTGTGGTTTGCAGAATACATTATCAAAGAACCTTTTGGCAACGGGTCCAACTCTAGTTGTACTGGAAGACAGGGAGATTTTTCAAGAACGGCAGTACAACTAGGGCTTGGTCCAAGGTTACACGGACCCACGGAACAGAGGTTTGATAGCGAAGACTGTAAGATGCAAGATTTCTCCTATTGTGTTTTATCTCATCTTCTGCAAGCTAAACAACAGCGAGAATTGCTTCTTACTTAATTGACTTACAGGTTCTCCTATGAGTCCACGAGCTCCTGGGTTTCCTTTTGGTCCAGGTCTACCCTAGAAATCAGCAATAAATCCTGCATTATCCCAGGACACAACCCTTAACAACAGTCAGTCAACAAAGTTAATACTCAAACTCTGTAGGGGCATTTCGTTCAGTTTGTGCTGGCTCCTGTCCTGTTCTTAGTGGTATGGTGGTTCTTTTAGGACACACCAGAAAACTGGCCCCATGCTGTCTGCAGCACCTGGGAAAATTCTTGATCATTTCAAGGGATGGAGATGTAAGATCTGAACCCTGTGCTCTGGACTGTAAGAAGCGCTTAGGCGTCTTATTGCTTCGGCATCTTTAATAAGACTTAAACATCTCATTTTTGAGAGGAATACTTTCACCCCTTTCATCTCCCGTTCAAACAAACCAAGCAGGGGACAAGCCATAATAAACCCGTCAGACGTCATGTCCAATACTTGAGCAGATGGGTGTTTTACTGCACTTACAGTATCACCTTTGGGCCCCCTGAATCCTTGAGGTCCTTTGTTTCCTTGTTCTCCCTATGACAGAGGAGGAAAAGCCATTAAGCATCTTCATCACACAGTGACAAAGACTAGTGTTTGAAGGGTGTAAGTGATGAAGGTTGTTTTTGCCGTTTGCTGGCGTTAGCGGAGGCGTGAGCGTACGCGTTCCCTAGGAGCGCGGCTGTACTTTCTCAGTTACGCTCTGTAACTCCTGACACACAGATGAATTGCAGCAGGGACTTTGCCAACAATCCCTCGGGGCAGAGACCACCTTCCCCTTCATTTAATGGAGCATTTTCTTTAACTAGAAAGAGAGGGAGAAAAACTTTAATATTTACTGTCTAGATCCTGTTTGGCACAACTAAACGCTTGGTGGACAGTAAGCACCTCATTTTATTTTACTTCAGATTAATTTCTTCTATAATTGCAAAGACTAGGAAGGGGTCCCCAGAGGGTGGTACTGCCTCGAGGTCAATGCAGACTGTGGTGTGTTGGCTGCTGTAGGCAGGTGAAGGTGCCTGCTATAAAGCAGGTGCCATATTAGCCACCTAAGGAGAGACCGGGTGGCAGGCCAGTGGAGAACGCTCTTAGAGAGGCCACAACGCCGCAGATGCAGCTCAGGTCTCATCTTTGGGCACAGTAAGGAGGGTATGGGAGTCTGCCCACAGGTAAGCGTGCAGGTTCAATGTTCTCGTACACTTCACCCCAGCGCTCTGCAAAAGGATGAGGACTGCATCTTTAATACACAACTATTATGCACCTTGAATCTTGTGTTCAGTGTTGGGCCCCTCACTACAAGAAGGACGTTGAGGTTCTGGAGCGTGTCCAGAGAAGGGCAACGGAGCTGGTGAGGGGGCTGGAGCACAAGTCTGATGGGGAGCGGCTGAGGGAACTGGGGTTGTTCAGTCTGGAGAAGAGGAGGCTGAGGGGAGCCCTCATCGCTCTCTACAACTACCTGAAAGGGGGTTGTGGTGAGGTGGGGGTTGGTCTCTTCTCCTAAGTAACTAGTGATAGGACGAGAGGAAATGGCGTCAAGTTGCGCCAGGGAGGTTTAGATTGGATATTAGGAAAAATTTCTTCACCGAGAGGGTGGTCAAGCATTGGCACAGGCTGCCCAGGGAGGTGGTGGAGGCACCATCACTGTAAGTGTTCAAAAAACGTGTGGATGTGGCACTTTGGGACATGGTTTAGTGGGCATGGGGGTGTTGGGTTGATCACTGGACTTGGTGATCTTAAAGGTCTTTTCCAACCTTAATGATTCTGTGATTCTATGAACTATTTCTGCTTGTAGCACAAGTCCTTGCGAGCTGTGGACACTTGGGAATAGACCAGGCTCAGAGGACGTAAGTTCATGTTAGCACTTACTGATTCTTCCTCAAAACTCTCCTTCCCAAGAACAACACAGGTGCCCCTCTCAGGTGCTTGCCCACAGCTGCTCATGCTCAGGGAAGAACAGCGAGGAACAGAGAGCAATGGAAACGTGGTGAACTTATTCTGGCATGGGGCACGACTGAGGCAAAGACATCATAAGATCTGGGTCAGGTGAAATAACATTGCTCTAACTGGAGGGAAAAAGGCAAAGGGAATAATCTTATGGAGATGGTCAGCACACCCCTCCTGTTCATTGGCAAAGAGTTTAGTGCAGGAAGAATAAACTTTAGGCTTTGGTCATGGAAGGCAGGGCCACAGAGATGCTGAGAAATAGATACATACAGCTTTTCCTGGAGGTCCTGGGATCCCAGGTGGTCCTCTGAAACCGATGTCACCCTGCGAAGAATAATACATCACTGTAATGCTGTGACTGGCAGAGGGTGAAGTAACAGTATCCCCACCTTATACTGCAGTCTAAGAAAACACACAAAGCCCTGGAAAGATACCCCATAGTTCTTGCTAGCCTGCAGCAGAGGCTTGCAAAAGATCCCCCTCTGAACAAGCAGGTTTTTCACTCCGGATCCCCCACCATTATATCTGTGATACACTGGTATCATTCATGGCCTCGATATCTTGATAACACACTTTCCTAAATAAATGCATGACTTTATCAAACTCAAAACCATTCAGCCTCAAGGGCAATGGTCAAGGGACCTTGGCAAAAGTCCAAAGCCACGATGAGCTGGAGATTGACCCTCTTCTCACCGAGGAGACTTTTCATGTCCTGAAAATCTGTCCATCAGTGATTCTTTGGCTTTTTCTTGTAAAAGACAGAACAGAAAGTGAAATGAAACGTTTCTCAGGTTTTTTTGCAAGATTCTTTTGTATTGTCAGTCCTGCATGGGCAGCACTTCATCTTTCTGGTCCGTTTAAATCAAGACTGGGCCTGATCCTGTCAATCCCTCACATATGTGGAATCCTCCTGCCTTTGGAAGGTTGTTCTGTTTGGCGGGGGCTCAGGGAAGAACTGCACTTTGCATCTTTACAAGTTCCCCAGTGGTCTCCAGCAAGGACAAACAGCACCTGGACCTCGCACCAGAAAAATTTGGGGAGCGTGGGGCAGAATCAGAAGAAGGCTTTTCTTACTCTGTCACCAGCTGGACCCATTGGACCAGGAAGGCCTCTTAGTCCTCTTGGGCCCTAATTAAGAAAACAAATCACTTAAAACCCAATCACTGTTAAACACAGCATGGCAGAACAGCACGGTGTAGCAACTCATGAACACAGAAAACATTACGAAACAGTGAAGAGCATCAGAAAGCTCAGCCTTCTGATGCACAAACAAGACATTTTCCCCTTCGGTGATGACCTCCGAGCAAGTGGCAGCGGAGATGCCCCACGCAGACACGCATTCAGAGCGCCTGCTCTCCCAGCCCACCCACCGGGCCCTTCAAGCCAGCCCAGAGCACAGCCTCAGACCCACCCAAAAGGCGCCCAGGGCTCTACTGGAGTACCAGCAAGACCGCGGCTATCACTTGGATGTCCAAGGTGAGGTACCGAAAGCAGGACCTGAACTGAAGCACCGTGAAACCAGCACGATTTGTTTTTTCACCAGCATCAACTTCCGTATCTGTTATTATGCAGAGGCAAGAGCTGCTTGTGTAACGCAAGATGATTGATGGCACCATTGAGTTTCCCAGTAAAAAAGTCATGGGAACTGGTCTGAAGAGTAGGTGTTACCTGCAGGCCAACGCTGCCGGGAATGCCTGGAGGACCGGGAGGGCCAGGGCTGCCCTGGAAGAGAAAAAACATAATTACACAAAGGGTGAGACAGCATGAGCCTGCCAACCCCATGCCAGGGACCTTCCCATCTTATGCCTCCTTGAGCTCCCTCCCACTCAGATTTCTGCTTCAGAATTTGCTTCTACTTTACAGGCAATTTCTTCTACTTGCAAAAACACTTGATCAGTCAGAATTTACCCGAGTGATTAATGCAGGACTTTTTTCCTGAGCTGACATCCCTGCATGTGAAAAAATAGGCGTTAACTTATCAAACTGATCTTAACATTGTGATTAATGGGAAGATGAATTTTCTTGAAGAATTAGCACACAGTCATACATGCAGAGCAACGGAAGCCAATGCACTTCAGTCATAGTAACTTCTCCTGGTTGCTCAGCCAATTGCCTCATTTCTCCCTGTCATCTTGAAGAAACCATTTCTTATGGTGCTTTTAAAGAGAAAAATCCTCCCGCATCTCCCTTACACTGAAGTTTACCTTTTCTCCTTCTTTTCCTATTTCACCAGGTTCTCCTTTGTGACCAGTGTGTCCCTAGAAATAAGAGCTCCAATTATTCACATTCCAGTACAGCCTTGTTTCAAAATTTAAACTTTGTGAGAGAGCTGTTAAGACCTAAACCCACACAACACAAAAGACTTACTGGGAAAATAATCTACACATGTGCTGTAAACTTGTGAACGGAGGTCACTTCTGGGGTTAATTAGCCATGCACCATTCTTGTGTCGGGTATCCTTGGGTCAGAATTGATCTAGTTTCAGGAAATGCCCAGATTTGGTTTTCAAGAGTGACTTGCAGCGAGACTAGGCTGCAGGTCTCCGCATGCAATTCTCAAATACAGGTCAGGGACCAAAACTCAGTTCCCATTACTTTTGAAAATGGGGCTGAGGTGCTTCTGAAAACCCCATTCCATATCTTTAACTTCCCTTGTTTGTTTAAGTCCTCTTTAATGTCTGCATCATACAGCTTGCGATGAAATCCACGTCCCACTGAAATCTTTTATATAAACTCAGATTCAATTTGCTTCTTGGCTCCCTTCCTGTTATTGTGGGAGAGACCCAGACTAATTTCAGCCATGGCAGATGTTATTCCTCACCACGCAAAAGGTCCTGTGCATCATTTGCATCATAATTTGAGACCTTCACGGGTTTTTCCATTTCATAAGCTATGAATTTTGAATAGTTATACCCTAAAGATTCTGTATTTCTAATGATATTACTCAGTTCAGAGACCAAACAGACCTGCAAAAGGTCAGTTCATGAGGAACTGAGAGCATTTCCCAGGAGACGTTCCACCCATTGCCAACTTCTGCTAAATCCTGCTAGAAAAAAATCTCGGCTAACTTATTACTTCAGCTCACTGCTGGAGTGTAACCTACTGCACAGAATTCGTGTGAATCATGGAGGGGACAGAAAAGGAGATGTTTAACTGCTGAGTGAGGTTTCCTGAGGGTTGCAACCTAAAATTTCTCTACCAGAATCAAACAACATAAACAGAAAGCTGCCTGGTGCTACACTAGGTATAAAATGGCAATTAAATTGTATTTAATCACGTAAGTTATGTCTCGCTGCCGTAAAATATGTATCTCTCTGTATAGGGTCTGTGAGCACAATTTAAAAACTGGTGAATAATAAATAAATAGATATAATAATAAATAAATAAATAAATAAAAATCTTACAGCTCTCTGAATTCTGAAAGCAGCTCTCTGCTTCCTCCTGTTCAACAGTTGCGCCTTGCAAGGCTTGCACAGCGTTTTAATCTTTGTGCTCACCCTAAGCAAAGGGTTACATTTAATTTGTGGGAATAAACGGCCATAGTTAAATCTTCCATCCAGCAAAGAGTGCAATCCTGCAAGGGATGGAGCCGCAAAGCGACGCGCCCGTAAGTGCAGGCAGGTACTTGAGGGATGGAAAACTTCTTGCTGAAGGTGAAGGGAGCGCGCTGGCACACTTTGCTGGCACACTTTGCTGGCACTTTGCAGGACGGAGGTCAGTGGCAGAGCAGCTGCTGCTGCGGGCGTGGGAACGGCGTGCAAGGAGGGCAGGATCAGGTCCTTCACCCTCCTCTTGTCTCATATTTGGCTGTGTTAGGGGCTTTCTGTTTCAACAGCATAAACCCAGGCAAATGCGTGGCCGGTTTGGAGAGGTGTGGAGCCTACAGAAGACGTGTACTGTACATAAACCAGTTTAATCCCCGGGGTTCATAGTGGTATTTGTTTTGGGAGACAGTCCCTTGTATCTGCAGGTGGTGTTTTTCTTACCTTGAACCCTGGCATTCCTGGGGGACCTGGAGGACCCGGTGGGCACAGAGCTGGGCACTGCAAGGAACAGAAACACTCTTTGGTTTATCAAGTACACACAGCGCATCCAAGGAAGCTGGTTTCATTACTAGGGAGAGGAGAAAAGGTCATGTGAATTTTGGCTCTAAACCCACTAGATCTCATTCATTCATAGCATAATGTATTCACTGGCAGTTCCCTATGGCAGGAGGTCCTCAAAAAGTCCTCAGGCCCCTCGTAACTCACAAAATAACGATTTATGAATGGTCTGCTTCACTTTGAGCATGCCTGTGAAGAAATCTGAAGGCTGACAGTGGAACCACAGTTCCCCCGTGAAGCTGGATAAGTATCTTGTAAATCATGAGGAACATATTTAATTCTACGCATTCATTAACCCTTATCGATTTCCGTTAGACAACTCACCTAACTGAAACACGGACAAGCATTAGAGTTCATGAGAAAGGAACCTATAAAAAATTAACCCAAATACCAATAAGCTGATATCTGCACATGTCTCAGGATGGGTAAGCCACTGGTGGGAACTCTGGTTTGACCAGGAACAAATTAGAACATGCGTGGAAATTTAATGGGGCTTAAAAGGCCACACTAAAAACGATAAATAGGGAACCAGATTTTCTGCTGCAGCTTCTCTTTCATTTGTTTGGGTTTGGTTTTTATTAATAAAACCTCAGGCTACATCTCTGTAGCAGGAATTTAATTTTCTAGTATGTTCCACAGGGTAACTTAAATTAAAATCGCAGAAATAGCATCATTTCTATTAACTTCCACGTGACTTGCCATACGGCGACCTAAACTGACTCTGAGCTTTTTTGGGGCGCGCCGATGAGAAAACAAAAGATGCCGTCACAACAGCAGCTGCAAAACCTGGAAATGTCACCTCCGTCGTTCACGGACTTAACACTCCTTTCATTCCCTTGAAAGGAAGGAATCAAGACTTTCTCGTAAGGAAGGAAGTCTAAACAAAGCGTATGCCCACAGGAACGCAGTCCCACCATCCATGGAAATAAACAGTGCAACACGCACGACCTTTTCTCCTGCAAAGCAGGACTAGAAACAGATGCATGAAAAGCTGTTGTCATTTACCAAATGCTCAAGTTGTTTTGTAAATGAAGAATATATGCAAAAGCTGCATTTTGGAAAGCAAAGATCAAGGGAAAAACCAGCACTAGCATATCTACCTCCTTGAAAGAACATTTCAGTCTTGTAAATAGGCACGCAACACTTACGCGTTCTGCAATACGGCAGGTTAGACCCGTGTCCGCAGGTCTGAACAGTTAAATGATCTGACAGTCCCCCAAGTATACCAACAAAAAGTCACATCAAGGATTAAACCAAAAAATATTTTCATGCTACATAAAGAAAAACCTACCTGAAGGTCCCCACCGCCATCGGGAAGGGTGCCTGGAAGACCCTGCGATTCATGAAATGTGGTCTTTTAAATACATCAAAACAAACACCAGGAGGAAATACAATTTCTAGAAAATGCACTTTACAGATCCAGCTCAGCTGGATCGGCACGAGGCAGATACCCAGCCCCACGGCGTAAAATGCAGCCCCTGAACCCAGAGTGTTACGAGCAGCACCAGTCCTCAAAACAGACATGTCAGTGGTGTAATTATCTTCTGGAGATGCACAAATGAGCTTGGGGAAAAGCCTTGAGCCTTTGGTGACGAAGGCAGCAATTTGAGAAGAGCAGCTGTGCCTGAGCCTCCTTCGGACCAGGGAAGTTCCCTGGGAAAGATCTCCCTACCCCTCCAACCCTCCAGAGATACCGCAGCAAACCCCAGACTTGAGACTTGCTGGTTTCAAGCCCCCCGGGCTGTCCCCACAAGAACACATCATGACCCAAGCAATCATATAAACCTTGAAAGAACAGGAATCCCACCCTGTGATCCATCTATGCCATAAAGCCTGGAGGTCATTGGGTTCCTCCACCCACACAGCACAAATAATGAACAGGAGATAATCGTCACACCAAAGCGCAGCCAGTGAGAAGACACCGCTCTCCTTCAGGCACGGTGTTCATGGACTGCTGAAACTTAGCCCAGAAAGGGAGCGCTCAAGGCAATGGCAGGAAATAAAATGCACCTTTTAGCAAAAGAAGAAAATTCTGGACTCCCCGTAGGAATTTTCTCACATTTATTTGCAAGTCTCAACTTACGGGAGGTCCAGGTGGTCCAGGAGGCCCTGGGAATCCTGGCAGACCAAAAGGTCCCTAAAAAGAGTGAAAAATGGTAAGAATTTCCTTCTTAATCATTTAAATGAAAATGCAAAGGAAGAGGAAGGGTGGCTACCAAGTACCATTGCATATTTGTGAATACGGGGCAAGATATCTCTAATGGAACTAAACTGCACCTTTTTTTCTGCAGAGGCTTCTATGACTGCAAAGAGAATTGAAGATGCACACAGAAGTATAGGGATTAGGACACATATAGAAGAACATATCCCTGCACCTACATCCCTGCTTCCACTGGCTCTGTACCTCTCCAGAGGAGCTGTGGGCACCCAAAAATGATGGTATGTGTCTGCACAATGGGCTCTCTCAGATCAGACCCATTCTGTTCAGTTGTTCTTCTGAGGATGCTGCAAGTACATGCCAGCTGATAAGTGACCTCTGTCCTTGGTTGTCCTTACTCATACTTGGCAAAGGAAGATACGGCTGCAAGCATTGCAGCCTTTGGCATTGCACTGGTTGACTGGGGTGACCCTAAACAGGCTGATACAAGCAATAGCATTGCCCATGGGCATTTGTAGACCTTGGAGTGTTTTGCACATCATACTTCCAGAATGGGGTAAGAGACCAGAAATGAACCTCATTCTTCTGTGGTTGTGGCCACATGTTCAGTGAATGAGGATCAAATGGTAGGAGAAACTCACAGGAGGACCCCGAAATCCATTTCCACCTGGGAGCCCACTGGGTCCTGGAGGGCCCTGTTGAATAGAGAGAAGAGCCTTACATCTGTGGCAACCTCACATAGCTGCCAAAGCCCGGGGGCAAGCAGTCTGGCTGCACTCGTTTGCCAAATCCCCCCGCAGGAGCTCAAGGCTGCACCCAGACGATCGGTTCGCCCACGCGCATCCTGCTCTTCGCGCCACCCTCCCGCGGAGCGCGCGTCTGTCGTCATCACACGTTGCCGACATCCGCGTCCCCTCCGACACGGGGCAGCTCCAAGATGCCCCGGGAACCCACCGGACAACAGCTGCCCCAGAACGGGTCGCTCCCAGCAATTACAAAGCTGCTGGACCTTGAATTTACATCAGTGCCGGCTTCCCTGGGGCTAGGGTAAGCGCAAAAACTGCTGCTGACCTGCGGGACTCCACATCCCTCTGCCCGGCACACGAGAGGGACCCGAGGCCTGGCGTGGGTTTGTAACAGTCAGAGCATCCAGTAAAGCTAGTACAATAATTTAAACCTCTTTTTCGAAAGAGCCTCATTACTTACGGGAGGTCCTGGGAGTCCTTTGCCCTGGAAACAACATTTAAAACAGTAAAAGATCACTTAGAAGCGGAACATACAGGAAGAAAAGCGTCCCTCAGAAAATGCTGCTTACTTATTCTTTTTTTTTTTCTTTTAGGCTTCCTTAGCACTCCTCTGCCCCCAGTTATTGTAATTTGCAATCAGAGCTGAATCTTGATTAATCCTTTTGTTGCCTCTAATAATTTGTATTCCCTTTACATCAACTGCTACCTACGAGACATCTCTAAGTAAAGCCACATATGGTGATGGGATAGCGGGACGCAGACATTTATGAAGACAACATTCCAGTTTATCTACTTTTCCTCTTTTTCTTTTCGTTTTTATTAGACATTATCTAATGTCTAATCATCTGATAGCATTTGATATGCTAGTCTTTATCCCAAGCTGGCTTGCTTTTAACATCTTGGAGACTAAGAACAGGCCGTGTGTTACCAGAACAGGTCATACCTATATATTTAAACACTTTGAACAACTTTTTCCACCCATTCAGGCTTTGATCCCTTTGTTCGGGAAACGAGACTTGCCATCTTGTCTTGGTGATGGTTTTGGCACAATATTACACACCGTCTTTACATATGCAGGTCTAGGAGGTACTTACGGCAGGTCCAGGTGGCCCGGCAGGTCCTAATGCACCCTACAGGAATAAAACAGGGAGCAAATTAGCAGGAATAAACCAGAAACCTCCAGACGGGTAGACACCAAGGGCTGCTCTCCTCGACACCAGTTTTTGCTTGAAAGTTCCAGCAGTGTCGTACAGAAACAGCACGCAACTCGAGATGCTCAGCTGAATTCACAAATATAAGGACAGAAATTTATGGATCATGATTCTGTCATTCCTGGTTAATTACTTGATTAAAGAACATTTTAAGATAGTAGAGATGGATGTTCAGAACTGGCCCAGTAATTTTCTTCGCCATTTGCTGGTCGAGAGACAGTAGAGACTAAAACACGAGCTGCTCCTAAAAAGACTAAATAGACATTTCTGCAAGCCACAGCTGGCCTCAGATTAGTCTCCATGGATATCTAAATATTCATCAATTGAATTTCATCTTTTTGAAATGTTCTCGTTCATAATACATTCACATTGTATATCCAATGACTAAATTATCTGAAACTATTTACAAGATTTGGACTTGTTCTAGTGAATTTTATTAATTCATACATTTTCCCTTCAAGCAACGACAAAGATTTGGCAGCTTTTCCCTCTTTTCTAGCTTTCCTTGGCAAATCCCCAATCTCCTTTTACCAATTTGCATTCTTACTCTTAAGCTTGACTAGAGTTTGGTGATCTTATGACTTAGACTAGAATGAAGTCATTCCTGAAGTTGCTACATTCCTGTTGAATTAAAGACAGACAGACAGACCTTCTTAATCACTTTGTTGCCTTGCAAAGATGCCAACATCGGCCGTTAGACTAAAAATAATTACAGGTAGTAATTCTGAAACAAAGTGAATGGAAACATAAAAATGAACAACCCCCCCCCCAGTGCGGTGCGTTGGCCTTGGCCTGCAGCTGTTAAGGTATCTCCAAGAGACACCGAGTGTGCGTTGCTGACTGATGCTCTCAGGCCCGAGAGTCTCCTCAGAAAACAGATGTTGCTGCGACAGGGAGAAGAAAAGCAGAGGCAGGCAGCTGATGGGAGCAGAGCAACCTTGTCATTCCTTTTAAAAAGAAAAAAAAAAAAAAAAAAGGAAAGGAAAAAACCCAGAAGTAGCGGTGGAGGTGCAGCGATGCCAGTGTAACTTGGGGTGAACGATAAATGAAATAATAGTTTGCTCAAAGCACCGACGCCTCCCTCGCAGTGAGTTTCTCTAAGCTGTGCCAACACCCGGGAGCTGCAGAAGAGCCGTGCTGCCCTCAAGACCCCGCTGCAGACAGCTCTCCGCTGGCACTGGTGTCGTTCTCAGCTCATACTGCTCTCTGATGAAGGCAGAACTTAAAACAGTAAGAAGGTGACAGACTTAAACACAGAACAAACCATGTTGTTATCTATGGCTGTGTTAAACGAGTGCCAGCAAACCCTCCTCGCCTTGCGCAGGGGACGAGGAGCGATTACAGCATGAGGCTTCCTCAGCCTCTCGCCGGCCCGATTGCCCCAACCTGTTTTCCAAAAGTTCTCAAAGTGCTGCACAGAAACGTCTCCGGAATGATGTCCTGAGCTGGGATTAAATGGTATCTACACCTAGGACCAGGAGAACGAGGCAGGTGGGCAGACCTGGAAAATATCCCAACACACTGCTGGTTACTGCGATCCCAGGGACGACTCCAGCCCTCTCCTAATGTACTGTGTACCAAATGAGATTAGAAATATTTTCCCTCGTTAAGCTTAAAGAGAACAATACCAAGGACCCAAGGCCTCATTAAGAGCAGTCTTGTGAGGAAAGCACTGTAATCCAATAAAAATCAAATGTCAGCTCATTCCTTCCTCTTGCTGCAGGCTATTCTGCTTTTCTTCCAGTCACTTTTCTCTTTGGGCTGAAGTCCTTACCACTATTGATGGTCGTAAGGGACAAGCTGGGATCTCCTCCCATAAAGAAAACATTGAATTCCTGGCACCTACTGACTTACACCCTAATCCCGTCCCCACTGAAAGCAGCTCCATAGACCCTTTCTGCTTCAGCCGATGTGCCAAAAGGTTGGCAGAGTACCCAAGTGCCAAGCGTTGGCACCTCACTCTCCTTAACTTTAATATCTTTGAGGGTGTAAAGTGCAGCATGCAGCAGTGAACATTCCCGGTACAGTAAAAGATCATCAAGTCCCTGAGCAAGCTGATGTGACTCCATTAAGTTCAAAGGAGAGACTCAAATTAACAACTCAATTTTAATAACATTGTCTGACTCAACTCATTCCCCTGGTAACAATGTTCTTTCTCTTCTGATTAGAAAACAATCTCACCATAATTTTTCACTTTAAAGTAATATACTTTATGAATATACAACTACAGAGCATAGGAAATACTTGATTAATATGACATTCATAAATAAAGATGAATAATTATGTTTTCCTTGTTGCTTATAGTGTAAAGCACCAAACTTCAAAATGGCCTTTGAAAACTTCCAATGAAAGACTCCACTCTCTAGCACACTGAGGTCAGAACCCAGCTTGTTCCTGGCTAAAAATAAAGGAATTTTTTTTTAATTGAAAAAAACAAGTAGGCTTGATCTAATCGGTCTGTAAGCAGAACCATGAGAAAAGCTAATGGATGCTGATAGCGATGGGAACGTTTAAGACAAAAAACATTTTAATATGCTGCCTTCACAATACTCTGTGATCAAACATGTCTGTGGTCAGACATGAATCACTTGGACTGATGAAGCGTGGCATATAGACGAAAAAAAAGTTTAGCAATAATGTATTACTAAAAACTGTCTTCCGTGAGCCCACTTCCATATGCTAAACACCTTCGCTCTCAGACACTCCAGTTCAGAAAAACATGCTTGTTCAGTAGAAGTCATAGTGTTAAGCATGAATTCAATCCCACAACAGTAAGTAGACACCTGCTTATTTCCGTGATTCCTGGGAGCCTGAAATATGTTTTTAAAGTTGAGCAGAAGAAAGTCAGACAGATTAACAATGCTGTTCTTTTAGAGTGCTGGAGATTTACAGGTTTTTTTCTTCTTCCAGGCTTTTATTAGACCAATTAAAACAATTTTCCAGATGGACCACTGACCTTGAAAAGCTCCCCTAAATGACAACAGGTCCCAGGTTTGCCCCATGCTGACAGCTCGAGTTATGCGACATGGGAAAGCATGTGAAATCAGAGCCCGTAGTTACGGCAACTGTGCTAAAACAGCCTTTGTGGGCTTCTACTAAACAGCCGAAGAGGAAGTTCTTGCGCCCAGAAATTATCTGCCCCCTTGCCCTGCAAACTAGGAGCTTGTGTGCTTAAGTGGGCATGGGCGAATGCTACCAAACAAACATGAAACGGGGACACAAAACCACTCACAGTTTCTGTGTGTGGTCCTGAACTTCTCTATTTTAAAAATCAGGGATCAGCTCCCAGAAGGTGCTGGACACTTGCCACAGGCTGCCCGAGAGTGGTCAGGATTTAGCAGCCCTGGATCTCTGGGGAGAAAGATGGGCAGGAGGAAAAGCAAAGGAGATGTTTTTCAGTGCAGTGCCAATGGACGGAGGCTTGGAGCTGTGACCGAGGTTCTTGGGTCCTGCCACTCAACTTTCCTACTGGCCAAGCGAACTTTGCCTCGCATGTAGGAAAGGAAGAAGAGCACATCAAAGATACACAGCTCTATCACTCATCCCTTTAACTGAAACAGCGCACAGAGTTTTGAGCTTTGAGTAATTCTTTAGGGCAACAAATGGATTATTGAGATATATTGAACCTTTTTTAACCTCTGCACACTGTGATGTGTGTTCAGCCCATCACTGTAGCCCCGAGTTCAGGAAACTAATAAATTAGCTGTTAATACAAGTGTTTTCTTTCCATGCTGGGAGACAGGAAAATAGACATACTGGATAAAAATCTGTGCTGAATGGCTCATTCATGTTTAGTGTCATAAGGTGGCCCAAGTGCCTTTCCAGTCCCATTGTAGATGATCTGAAGGACATCTGTAACATTTCAGGCAGTCATTTCTCTATCCCTGTGGTGCGCCTTAGCAGAGCTGTAATATGCAGGAAGCAAGAAAATACTCTTATTTCTTGCTATGCTGGCTGGGGAAGTCTATGCCAAAGCAACTAATAATGTCAACCATATGGACAGCCCCAGAATTAACAAAAGGCAAAAGTTTAAACAGCTAATACACAGTAGCAGTAATTATAAATATAACAGAGCTGCATACTCAGACTGCAAATAAAGGCCAAAATAGCTTCACTTCGATAAACTCCGTAATTAAGTCTGTCAACTGCTTCAAGGAACTTTTTAGATACTTGAAATATCACCAGAGTTGTTCTGCACTGGAATTCCCATCACCGAGGCTATCCAAGCCCATTCAAAGCCATGTGAAAGAAAGATGGATCTCATGCCCTGCCTAATGAAAAGCCATCTGGAGCTTAATTTCAAGGGTTCAAGTGTCCTGCAAGGGTTTATGGATAAATAAGCCATCGTCATCGACACTCGAACATCACCAATTTACAAAGGAATTAGAAATCATCAACACAAACGGTGACAATGTTCATTTAAAGGGACTTAGGATCTAACGTGGTACTCACACGGTCTCCTGGAGGCCCGTTTGGGCCAGGTGGGCCATCGGTTCCTGTTAAACCCTGTAAAAACAAAAAAGGTAAATGTGAAAAGAGAACTACAGCAGTAAGAGTTATAGGAAGTCCCTGTCACTGTCACCAACACAAATCATCTGGATGCCAAGCTCTCGGGAAAGCCTAACCATTTTATTTCTCTCTGTAATTAATCACAAAGGAAAGGACCAGAAGGGGCAGCATCAGTACCGTTCCCTGTGCATTGTAAGTGTGGATGAACACCACCAAGTAGTCTTGTTACTGGGGTTTACTGAGTTGCAGCTTAGCTGTGGAAGCTGATTGAATGCTGCTTCTTGCCTGATGCAGAAGAAAATGTGCTGGCTAAAACCTTACCCAGACTCAGCTACCACGGCAGTAAGTTGGTAAGCTGGGAAAACTTGACTGTATGCAGTTGCCTGTCCAGAGCTGCCGGGCAAATCCCAGCCCAGTAATCAGCAAGCCTCGGCTAGTAAGTGTGACTGGATTTCTGAATTGAGGCTCAATGGGTTTGTTCCAGAAATGTCGACTGATGCCTGTATGTCTGCAGACCTGCCCAGTGCACCTCTGAAGAACTGCAATGTTTCATTGTAAGAGTGCAGTCCTATCAGTTATGCATCTCAGAATTGTTCTCGTACTCCTTAATTCACTCAAGAGATGCTTCCAACTCTTAAAAAATTTCTCCTGATATGCAAGACACATGTAGATCCAGGACACACTTTGCGTCTCCAATAGGCACAGAGAAAGTTGATGAGACATTTCGGGAAAACACCCACATCTATGTGAGATATTTAAAAGATCTGAGAGAAGGTGACAAAATACTCACATCCACTCCAGGCAAGCCAGGCAATCCAGCTTCACCAGCTCCTCCAGGCTTCCCTGGAGCACCTTTTGGCCCCTAAATCAGATAAGCAGGCAATTATTTTTAACATAATAACAAGAGAAACGTGGCATACGTTGATACGGGCTACAAGACAAGAGGTTCATTTGTTGATGTGTTAATCTTACACCACGCAACACAGAAGAATGCCTGCAGAGAGATGAAACTTGCCATGAATCCATACCCAAATCCTAAATTCATTTCAGTGCTTTGGCTCAGTTACACATACAGTTACCCATAAGCTAGTAGAGGGGTAGAAAGGGTTGGGGCAAGTGGCCCAAAGCGAAGAGCTGTGCCACTTGGTACAATCTTCAGCACCCTTTGGCAAACCGAGGAGCTGAAGCAGACTCAGACTGATGCCAGAAATAGCCATGTTTAAGTGGCTTGGTGCCAATTTTTGTTATACTGGTGATGGCCAAGCTTTATTTCAGGCATATCCTCCCCTAGTAATGAAGCAGGAGAACACGTTTGTCCCCAGGACCAGTGCTGAGCATCTCCACTCCTGTGTACCCTGATGGAAATTCTGCTGCAGATCAAGAGGAAAGCCAAGCCAGAAAGCCTTAGCTCTTGCATACTCCCTCCTTCTACAAAAGGATGAGCAAGTCAAAGTCAATCAGAAAATACTTACTGGTGGGCCTGGCAAACCAGGAGGACCTGGCTCTCCCTAAATGAAAGAGAAAAGACATCAGTTTTAGTGCTGAACCTCTCCCTTCTGTTGACTATCTGCAACAGTGGTGTTCCCAACCATCATAGAGGCAAGTCTCCCTTCATGCCCACGCCAAGATTTACCACCCTCATTCTTAGGAAGCTGATGTTCAGGATCAAGGATGAACCTGGATAGCCTTTTCCACACCTAAAGCAGCAGATCTGGTGAAACCCAGACCCTCAGCCTCCTAGAGAGAACCAGTGCTTCTGGATGGCACCCAACACCTGCAACTTTTTCCAATTATGCTTAGAAATTATTCGTGCTTGGGCTTGTCTGCAAGTGGGGCAGAGAGGAAGCTGGATGGCTATCAAGGCTTTCAAACATCTTCCTGATGAAACAGAGGGATACAATGATAAACTCCAGGTATCCAGGATACAGTATGAAACTCTGGTACTACCAGGAGCTGGGGACTATCAGAAAGTGAAGAATGAACCAGCTGTCTACAATGATTTTCTTCATATGACTAAACTTCGACAGGAAAAGCAAATGAACAAAGCCCCCAACTGACTTCCACCTAATCCAGTTGCACAATCTGGATTAAACTCAATTTTTATAAAATATTTCAGAAGTGCTCATTTTTTCCTATCCTAATGGAAAGCAGCTTTCAAGAACAGCATTAAAGGTGTTTGGAAGGCAATATTTTAAAAGTCTTTGAATCACTCCTTCCAGCTCAGCCAGCTGGAATGTCATCCAGGAGCTTGCGTGGACCCCAGACAAGATATTTGTGCTTTATTGTTAGCTCTCGAAAGAGGCAATCGTTTGTGAATAGCAGGAGCTTGACCGAAGCTTGGCTTCCCATCTCATCCCGCAGAAAAATCACTTTGTGTCCCAGTTCCACATGTCTGGATGTTACCCTCCCCTCCTGGCTTTGGGATAAGCACACTAGATATTGTGAGAGGCTCAGGTATTGTGTGCGGGCAAAGGGGAAGGGGCATGTTGATACACTGGAAGAAGAAAATCTATATGGAAAAAGGGTGGTTGTTAACAGAGCAAGGCTAGAAATAACACCATCCCCACCGTGGGCCTGATAATTAGGAGTTATAAGGCAGTAAGCAAAGGCATGGAATTTATAGCCTGTTTCTATATTTACTGTGTCGGCAACGGTGAAGCCTGGGGGCAAATCTCTCAAGACTGGCTGCCTTGATTCGCTCCGGTGAGGATGCACACATTGCACTGGTGACCGACCACCACCCAGACCCCAGGGTCATTGAACAGAGGGATCTTTATGCTCTGGCTTGCTAAGGCAACTCCTTTGCTATCCTTTGCCCGCAGATTTTCCATAAATAGTTATCATTATCACACGTGGGGAAGGTCCCCTGCCAAGGAAATGAAAGGAGCAGTTCTTTTGCAATGAATGGTTTGAAAAGGCAGTAGAGGTGGTTTACACCCTCCTCCATCACTCGAGACTGGCAGCTCCTCGCATTTTTCCTTGCCTGTGCCATGGCAATCCACATAGCAAGGTCACAGCATCAGAAAAGGCGGTTCAGGACCATTTTAAACCTTGATCCTGCCGTTGCGGACCCCTGCGGGACTCTGCAGGAGCACCAGAACTTCAGTCGGCTGAATCAAAAGCCTAATCAGTTTTTATACCCCTAATGCCAGGTCACTAGGAATTAGAGGCAAAGGCTGTCAGCAAAAGGAAATGCTCTCCTGGTGCTACATGAGAGGGAAGGAAGTTTACTCTTTCTTAGCAAGTCAAGCCAGGAGACAAAAAGGCAGGGCGGGGGAAGCAGCTTGATTTTTGAAAAGTGACAATTGCTTATTAGCAATTTGGAGAATTACATCACCCGAAATAATTCACAGGAACTTGTCACTAATTCTTTTGATCATAACATGCTGTTTCTATTCTTGGGACGGAGAGATTTTGCTTGTTACTGAGTATGAAACGTGAAACATGTTAAAGGCTATAATTATAAAATATTTCAGAGGGACTTAACGTTGCAGCTCCCACTGAAAGGCAGGAACGAAAGCAGGAGCTTCTAGAAATTGTGCTTATGGGGTTCATCCAAGGTTTGTTTGGAGATATCCTGAATAATTCAGCTGTATGTTACGCACTGCTCACAGTAAGGGACTGCTGAACACCTCGGCAGCACTCATCCAGCTCAAAGACCGTTCAGCAACTCTTCCCATACAGCATTCACCCAAATGAAGATGAAGATGACCCAGCTGAAGTGGCTTTTACAGAGTTCAGGAAACCTGCATAGATACAGTCCAGAAAAGTTCTGATTGTGCTTTAAAGAAAAAAGTCTCATCACTAAAGAAAAAAAAATAATGGTTTCATTCTTTGCAGTGGTAGAATTGACACTACCACTCGGGCTGCGCACGATCCTCTCCATGCAGCACTATGAAAATGCAGAGCAGTGCCAGATTTTATATGCCAAAATTTTTTGGAGAGTACTGCCAGAAAAACAGTAGCCCTGAAACTGGGAGGCTTCACGACTGTGCTCAACACTAGCCACAGCTCTGCATCTCTTCTCCTATGCAGTTCCTTGAATCCCATTGAATTGCAGAAACCATCTCGGCGCCTGTCCCTGAACAGCTGGACCATCTCACACGAACGGGGCACCTGACAACCTGTATCCATAGGAGGGATGTAGATCAAGTCTGTTCAAATGAGAGACTATTCCTGCATAGCCAAAACTCCAGACTCAAGCTGGAGCACCTTTTGACTCAACCATTTGACTCATTAGGACTAAGTTCTTCATATTAATTAGATGTTGTTATTTGGTCCTGTCCCACAGGGAGCTTTCCGAGGCTTTGAGTCATGGATAAAAAGGCGTAGGTTCATGCGACCAGCATCTCCTCAGGCTCCTGCTTCCAAGAGCGATCAGAAGTGATGCTGGTGCTGCTCCAGAATTAAGTTGTAAAGTCCTGTTGAAAGCAGGAACTGAACGACACAATTACAGGGATTTCTTTCTTTCTGCCTATACGCAGAAGTTGGTTATGACTTGAAGTCTGAAGCGCTTCATCCCTCCCAAATTCTTCTTTTTCACTCTGTACAGAACGCAGCCACCCGTTCCTGAAGCCCGCTGGCCACGCAGACATCCCGCTGCAGTGACTCCAGGGGCTCACTGCTGCGAATGTGCATGCATGTCCTTTGCCCTCTTCCCCCTTAAGCCTTTACCGTATCATGAAAAACAGCGGCGAGAAACCGTTGCGGTACCAGGTCTGAACTTCTCACGCGACAACACCAGAGAGAGATTTTCAGTAAAACGGTCTCCGTTAGTTGAAAGGACAGTTTAGAGGGAATAGCTGCAAATCAATGCGGTTCTCTCTTCAGACCAGCCTGGCTCACAGAGCCAGCTCACCACTGCAGACAAAAAAGCTCCTTGTTCCCATATACCAGGGAACTCATATATCTTTTTTTACTTCTTATCCAAAAGAAAATGACCTGCATGGAATGAATAGATTTTTTTCAAGGTTGCTTAAAGGCCCAATTCCAATAAACTTACTTCGGACAAGCTTTAAAAAACCCTGCCCTATTCCGTAAGTAGCTTAGAGAGATAAGCACTACTCAAACTGAACATCAAAATGGCAATCTGGCCTTTTGCAGTTGATGTGGTCTTGTTGAAGGTCCATCTAATGCTCTTTTTATCCACTGCCAACTACAGGACACAATTCAGTCCTTATCCAACAGATGCACAGAAGCTAAATTTTTCATTTCTATGGAACCATCAGTTAGAAGTAATAGGACAAGTTTTTCTCCTCTAATAAGTCCTGTGCCACATAGTCTTCTACCTCTGCAGGAGGTGTATGTATAAGGAACTGCTGGCTGAAATAAAGGGTGCCCGTTTCATTTGCCTTTTGTGCCACAAACGCAACTCATGTCTGAAAACACAAGCCAGATTCTGACCTCTCACGTGCCAGCATAAGTTAGGGATAGGCATAATAACAATGATAAAATAAACCAAATAGAAGTAAGAGCAGCATCCAGTGCTGCATATTTGAGTTTCCTGGGGCGACTCAGAGATGCTCTGAGGTGTCACATAAACCTCCCTCTCAACTACAGAATATGCAATGACTCCAACGCACATTGTACACATGCACTCAACGGTATCATGTCCCCCCTGCCCTTCCTAGACACCACAAGAGAAATATTCCGCTTTGCAAGCAAGGTCATGAATCCATAGCTCTGTCCTGAACTCTCTCGAGACAAGGGGTTGATCCTACAAAGAACCTGAGGCCACTCGGCACCTCCACTCGCTGTTCTGACTCTTGCAAAAGGAGGTCTCTTGTGAGTAGGCTGGGTCTCCAGAGCCATCCACCTCTGAAGGATGGCCCAAAGGCTAGGGCTCTGGAGAACAAGAGCAGCTTCTCTGCTCAGTTGGCTCTGCCTCTGCTCCACCCCTCGCCCTCCCTCGGCCGAGCCTGCCTTCTGCCGCGCGGCACTCACATCTATGCCGTCCTTGCCAGATGGTCCAGGGGGTCCTCGTGGTCCAGGAGGGCCTTGTGGTCCTACTCTCTGAAAAGACTGGGGGGAAAAAGAAGAGTTTATTTTTACATCAGAGGAAACATATGGCCTAAATCAGAGAGCAATGGCCAAGTCCTACAGCTTAATCCTGACTTGCACTAACCCTCCATCCCTCAGGGCCACCCACCATCCTGGGTGGACTCAGAGGAGCTCAGGACCAATACAAGGCTCTTTGGAAAACCCTTTTGACTGAGCACATCCTCTGGGCTCCCAGCTCGTTTAACTGATGGCTTACGCTGGGCATCAAAGCTGGTCACTGGGAAGCGAATGGGTTTGGTTGTATAGGAAACAATTCTCACTGCCTACAGGCACATTTCGTTTTGGGTAGAGGAGGAAATGCAAAGCCCATGGAAAATAGGTGCCAAGTGCTTGGCATTTAAAATTAATTTGTAGTCCCAGTCTGATGGGGTGATGGAAGAGCCAAGCAGACACCGTTGAAGACAGGAGGAGAAAGGAAAAGTCTCCTCTCTGAGCAAGATGCCATTTGAAAATCTGGGATTTTGGAGGAGGTTTGAGGTGGGGGGGGAAGAAGAGAAAGGTCCAATAAATTACTTCTGTATGGAGAGGGCTCCAGAGAGCAACTTGCTGTAGCTTCAGCGAACAAAGGTTTCATTGTAGAAGCAGCTCTGCTTGCAGCAGATGAGGGCAGTGCTGAATTCCCAAGCCAGACTGCAAAAATTCCTCACTAACACAATGAAAAACCTCACTGAGGAGTTAGTTCCCCAGGCAGTAATATTAACACCATACAGGGAAGTTTAATGTGGCTTCCTGCCTGAAGTGAATGAGGGTTAAATATATTGTTTTATAAATGTAAAATTTGAAAATTGAGGGAAGGACTAAGAAATTCTGATTCAGATGAAGACCCAGATCAGGAGATCAGTCTCACAGGCAACCTATTACTTCACTGTCAAAGAAAACTGTTTCTCTTACATCAACAGGTCTCCCCTCTCCCAAGGCTTGCTTTCTCGTAACTGCAGCCCTGACTAGGAAGACAATACTTCTACAGAAAGTACAAAGCAGCAGTTTCTACACCTGAGGATACGATCTAAAAGCCTACCTACGCGGTACAAAACCCGATGCTCTTGCCAAGCGCTCCCTGTGTAACAGCACAAGCAACACACACGTTTTTAATAAACTTTAGACTAATAACCTGCCTATTGCCCCATTTCGTCCTGCAGGTATAATGTACACAGATCACAATCTTTTCCCCTTACAGACTTTTTTCTTGGGTTTAATACATAAATGAGGCTTTCTTACCTGAGCCGATGCTGTGGCTAACAGCTGACATAGGAAGAGAAGCCCAAGAGCGGAGAATCCAGCCATGGTGCCCAGGCTCTGCCTCTCTTCGTGCCTCCTGAGCAGCTAAACCGTTTCTCCTCCAGGATCCAGCAGATCCCTCCTCCTGGGTCTCAGCTTACAAACCAGGGACTCCTCACCTCCAGATAAACCTGAGGCTCCAGCCGGAGGGGCAGAGCTGAGGAGCACAGGCAAGAGGGGCTGAGCTGGGAGGAGAGCGGGGGTTTTGGAAGGAGGTGGGAGAAGGAGGGGGAGCAGCAGGCGGTCAGGAAGAGCAGCTCTCATTCATGCCCCGCTGGGCAGCCCCGGCCTTGAGCAAACAGGGAGGGAGCCTACGGAAGGGCTGGACAGACACCCACAGGAGCAAAATTCGGCTGCTCCAGCTGGAAATACAAAGATGCTCCTTCGGGCTCATGCGGGCCATTTCTCAAAGCCCATCACCACCTCAGTGCTGGACAGGTAAAGAGCAAGAGAGTGAGTTACTCAGTGCCCGAGGCTACCTAACTTCGCTAGAGAAGTTAATATACCTGTAACGAGCGCAAGATGCACTACAGAAAAATGCACTTACTGCTTTGCGAGATGCTTTATTAGCTCTGGAGGTGTATTCACATCTGGTTTTGTTGTTTGGGGTTTTTTTAGGGAGATCTAAAGAACACCAACTGATTTGTTGAGAAAGTGATGAATCCTGACCAGAGGAGAGATGATTGCAGACAGAATCAAAGAGGAAGGAAAAAGGAGAAACATTCTCAGAGCCACAAAAAAAGAGAAGAATTGCCTTTGAAATATTTGCAAGGAAGGAACAGGATGACAGGTCCCAGCTAGGTTATCCCAAATGGCAATATATTCACAAAGACATATCTACAAATAGCATAATGCTTCCCTTTATCGATTACAGACCATTTCATCCAGAGCAAGGCTTGGAAGCCATCCAGAGCAAGGCTTGGAAGTGGAGAGGAACAGTGGCAAGATTCATCAGGGCTGACATGACACGTTCCATTTGGTTAGCAAGAGAAGAGCAGAAGTGGAAAAGCAAAGCTTAAAAAAAAAAAAACCAAAAAAAACCCAGGTTTTGCTTTGGCATCCTTACACCAGGTTTACATGAGCACACAGCGTGTGCCTGTCCAGCTCCCCAGCAGCCAATATTCCACCAACCTCAACAGAAGGATAAAGGGCTCAAAGATTTACAAAGCTCCTACAGATTTTTTGGAACAGGCAACTAGGGACAGAAAGGGAGTGTGTCTATGTCTTCAGATGGCTTCAAGGTAAATTGAATGCTTTATTAGACACCACAGACCCCGCAGGGGAGAGCAGCGCAGTCCCACGAACTGCTTCGCGCAGAGCTTGCACCTCCTCCTTCACACTGAGGCCAACTGATGGCAAGAGGGAAGGCAAAGCAGATCCCAATTCCTCGGCCACACGTTGCTCATAGCAAGTCAGGGACTGGAGGGCTGCTGCAAGCGGAGCATCCCACACCTGGGAGGATGGCAGCACAAAGCCAAGAAAGGGCATAGCGAAACATTTCAAAGCACATCATTAAACAAAGAGCATCTTTTCCCCTACAAACATTCACTGGCCACATTTCACAGAATCACTGGGTTGGAAAGGACCTTCAAGATCATCAAGTCCAACCATTAATCCAGCGCCACCATGTTCCCTAAACCATGTCCTGAAGTGCCACGTCCACACGTTTTTTGAACACTTCCAGAGATGGCGACTCCACCACCTCCCTGGGCAGCCTGTTCCAATGCCTGACCACCCTCTCAGTGAAGAAATTTTTCCTAATATCCAATCTAAACCTCCCCTGGCGCAACTTGAGGCCATTTCACAGCGGTGGAGGAAGGCTGAGCATCATCTCCGCATGGAACAAGGAGCAGGTTTTAGCTCATGGTGAGCCCACCAGAACTCTGCTTGGGAACGCCGGACGGCCCCGTGCACCCACTCGCTGGAGGTGCCCAAGCACCAGCAGATATATGGCCATGTCCTTCCCTCAAAGATGAAAAAAACGTTAAGTGGAAAGTGGTATGCATTAAAGTCATGCTTTAATAGGTCACATTAATGTAACAGACTGTGATACAGCTCTGAGAGCCAGAAAACATCCTGTGTGCTCGCTGCAAACACCTACAGCCGCAACTCTAAACCTGATCATGACAGGGAATGGTTTGGTTTCAGCACTCCAGACGAGGGCTCCCAGTGAAATCCCATTAAACACAAAAACAAACCACACATCACCGTAACAAGGTATATGATCTATGCCCCAGCTGAGCACATATTCACAATGAAAACTCCATTAAATAAGAAAATGACTATAAATCTGTACAAAAGCCACAATTAACAATTTCTTATGAATCTTTTATGAAAGAATTTTCACTCAACATCTTCAAGTATTTGTACCTGTATTCTTCCTGGCTATTTAACTCTATTTGTTCATTTAAAAAAAAAAAGTAGTATTTTAAAAACATTAAAGCCTTTTTTCTAGCACATGTGTGACCATGAACACTAGATGTTAAGCTTGCAGACTTTTATTCCCACACACACATATGTGGCATGCTGGATCAGGACCTACAGTCTGGGAAGGCAAGTCACTGATAAATTCCTTGAAAGATGAAGCTTCTCAAGAGCTGTAGCAGAGAGGAAAAACATTAACATTGCATAGCCTACTGCATCTGCTCTCTGGCAAGGCAGGCAAGCCTCTAGCCATCTCATACACAAAATAAACAGCACCTAAAAACCCCCAAACTAAAACAAACAATCTGAGCAAACAGCAAGTCCAGACCTTCGGGCTGTTGGAAACTGTTTCCTCTGCTTCATGAAACAGGTCCTCTGTTGTAAATCTCTAGGAGCAAAAGTGCTAAATTGTTTAACGCTCCTTCAGGCTCGGGTGAATACTCTGTAAGTCAGGCAGAATAGCTAACAGGGAGGTCAGGAACATTAAGGCAGGCAAATAGCTGGCAAGGTCTGAAAGTAAATTCTTGAGGGTTGTAAATAAATGAGCCAGACAAGCGTACCCCCTCCAGTTAAAGTTTCAATTAATTGCCCCACAAAGCCCAGTGGTTTCCAGACATGCTGCACTCGAACATGCCCTCACTGTCTGACACGGTGATCATTAACGGTAAATCAATCCTGCCCTAACTAGGAAGTGGGTTAAACCTGACACATCTAACTTCACGCAATGGGCCTGCGGCAGAGAGAGCCCCACCAGCCACTCACTGCAAATCAACGGCAAAGGCTGAAAAAAAATGCAATGACAAATATTTGTTCTACTTTGGCCATTGAGGAAGGAAGGCCTTTGAAGCAGTAACAGACATAAATATCTGTGGAAGGTTATCAAGGGTCTGAAAGTGGTGGAGAAAACTGGGGAAGAGCTCTAGACAGCTTTATGCAAAGTCTGAGGGTTTTTCTCTTAGAAACCAGATGACAATTCATATTCTTAACAGCTCTAACAAGCACTACAAGGCAACTTATGCGGGAGATAAAGGGAACAAATTCCTCAGCACTTTGCACCCTAGAGAACAGTATGTGTACACAAAGGTTAATACTGGTCAGAGATACGTTTCGACTATGCATTTTATCCCAGTCTAAAGTCAAACCTACTTTCTTTATAGGAGGAGAGGCAACTATACTCTTTCGTGATGTGAAATGCATATACTCATCTCTCTCAGGCAAACAGCACCTTTGCCAGGAATAAATCTCCTGGGAAGGTACAGCCTATCAAAATAGCAAATAGAAGTTACATGGTAATAGAAAGGCCTGGCAAATTAGGTCATGCTGTCTTACATTTAAAAAATCATGTATTTAATAAATATTTGACTAGTTCAAACAAGGAAACAGATCAGTTTTCCTCTTCCCTTTAAGAAGGGACATAATAGAATCAAAGCAAAGTGCAAAAATCCCTGTTGCTCCAAGATAGTCCTGAACATCAGAAAACGAACAGGAACAGGACACAGTCTGTCCGTGAAGAGGACTAAATTAGAATTTTCCTGTTTAGGGTAACCAAGGGCTGGATCTCAGTGCAGTTACTACAGACGATTAAAAAAGTGAGAGCAAAAATCAGACAGGGGCTAGCCTGGATCTGCCCAAAGTAAGTTTATTCTTTTGTGTACTTCCACTATCCAAATCATTAAAGCTGGCTCCCAGCAGTTAGGGCAGCGTCATCTCTGCTTGCTCAAATGCTTGCTGTGCTCATGTTACTCTGCTGATGAAGAGCAGGTATCAGGTTCTGCTGCATGCTCAGAGCTTTCAGGTTTTTGTGTTACAACCTCAGCACTGTCTTCTTCAGGACAAGTGGATTCCATGCTCTGCTCAAGACTCTCTGGAGCTTGTTTCTTGCCTATGACTTCTGTTTGCCCTTTTTCACTTGCATTTTCTGCCTTTTTATGCTGTTCTACCCCATCTACCTCACTTTTGCCTCCCAGGAGAAGTGTGCTGTTGCAGCGGTGCTGACCACTCCTTGCTGTGACTTGATCTCCACTTGACTCCAAGCCATCACTTACTGGACAAGTCCAGCCAGTCTTGGGGAGCCTGGAACCAACCGGGGTTCTCACAGCCCCACCATTTGCATCACCATCACCCTTCTCACTTGTCACTTCCACAGTTGCATTTTTCTCACTGACATTTTCTTTTTCAGCCTCAGTGTTTGCAACAGATGGATTTAACGTGGCACTAGAGGCAGAGGGCCCCATGTTCAGGTTTATGGCCAAGTTGAATGCTTTGCATCTCGATGTTCTTTTATCAACTTTCCTCCGTTTTACAGCTGCATCAGCAGTCTCCGGCACTGTTGAGTCTTTGGTGCTTGCATCATCTTCTTTCAGTGTTTCCTGGTCCTCTTCTGCTTGTAGAAGTGGAACTGAGGAGGGTATTTCTGCATCAATTGCACATTCTCCCAGATTACGGGAAATGTTTTCAATATCAGTAGGGCTTTTCAATGGTCCACTCTTTTTAGCATCTGCCATATTTGCATCCAGTTTTCTCTTCTTGCTCTCCTTTGTGCAATCATTCTCTGCTGTATCCTGCACTTCTTCAGCCTCACTGTTTAAATTCTCCTCCTCCTGCTGGGTAAATGAA